AGAAAAATTGAAATTGTTTGATTCGTGATCATATTAATTCACGTATATGTAGAAAGGGCCAGCACTTACCCTCACCCCTTGAGAGTGGGTAGATTTAGCTTGCTTATGCGATTGAGTGTTGTAGTTGCATGAGCACCACAGATGATGATTTGCTCGAGCGGGGTAAGTGTATGGTGACCTTGGCGCAATTAATAATTAACCGGAATTTTCATATCATGCATTGATTATGTGTTCGTGAAATTATGTGATTATCTTATTGGATAAATTGATTGGTGGATTCAATAATTTCATCGATAATTTATATATGATGAGATCCAGCATTGACACGGCTGAAGTCACCAAGTTGTTGTCCTCTGCTGCATCCGGCACCCACCTATCTCCCCACACTTCCACACTTGTTCCATTCCCTAATCGCCATCAAACTCCATGTCGAACCAGCTCTTGGGCCGCCATTAAACTTATCCACAAATAGCTAGGATTATTACCAATTCGAGCATGAAGGATATATGTATTGGGATAATACTTAGCTTTAAACACTCGGGCTACCTGGAAAATCGGGAAAAAATACAAAACTACCACTGTTTAAAAAAAACTTACAAAAATACCACCCATTCCCAACAATTTCCAAAAATATCACCGTTTATTAAAAACCGCGCCTCTAATAGCCAGTTAATATATAAACCGCTCCTCCTGGCAGCGGTTTACATCATAACCGCCTGGCCAACAGGCGGTTTTTAATTTCAGCTAAAACCGTTCCTCGAAGGCGGGGTGTACATACTAACCCTACCACAAAACGCTTCATGAGGAAGCGTTTAAATGTCGGCATGATAAACCGCCCCACCAGGCGGCGGTTTACCATGTGCAGACATAAACCGCTGCCCCAAGGCGCGGTTTGTGCCTGGTCACCCGACATCAGACATGTCGGCATGCAGGGGGTGGGGCTGCATGGCAGACCTAAAACCGCTCCCCCCCCCCCCCCCCCCCCCCGCGCGCGCTTTGTGCTGCAAAATTCGCCTATAAAAGGCTGTTTCAGAGAACTCAAATTCTTCACACTCCTCCTTCTCCTTCTTCAAATTTCAGTTTTGCACCTTTAAATTATTTAGTTTTTGCGATTAACGTTAATTCGTAAGTTTGTTTTGTATTACTTTTCATTGTCCTTTGTGATTTTATGTTAGTAACTTAATTACTTTTCATTGTCATGTCCCCTTTTGTATTACTTTTCATTGTCCTTTGTGATTTTATGTTAGTAACTTAATTACAGTTTTATTGCAGATGGCATTCCAAAGGTTCACTCTTGGGTTGCGGTGGAATGGTTACACGGAAGAGACCGAAAAAGGGTGTAAGTTACGCCGGTGACAATTTTTATAAAATGAAGGTCCGTACGAGACCGATGCTTGAAGAGCTCCATCAAATGCGCACTTAGATTACCTGCATGGATGGCACTAGAAGATTTGATCAAATGGTGTATCGATATCCAAACAGACATGACGGGTCGCTGTGAAATGAGGAATTCCTCCTTACCACTCAGGAGAACGTTGATGCCATGGCCCAATTTTTTACCACCAATAAAATTAAGCAAGCGGAGATGTTCGTTTACACCGAGGCCGTCAAAGGCGGTGTAGGTCATTCGTGAGATGGCCAAACATCTGGTATCCACGGTGGGAGTGTATTATACGAAGATCATCCCCACCAGGATTTTCAAGACAAGAGCTGGAGGCAGGAGTATCATTATGGAACTGGAGGTCATCATCAATCCTTCCCTTCATATGAAGAAGAAGCTCAACAGGCGAATCACAACCAAAAGCAGGCTACCAGTACCCACCCGAGTACAACTTCTACCAAAGCGGTGTTAGTTACCACAACTACCATTACGGAGCAGGTGAAGGTGAAGGTGCCTTTCATGATGATAATCAGATGGAAGAAGAGGTCAATCCAAGTCCAGTTAGTGACCCTGAGGTTGAAGAAGAGGAAGGCGAAGTTAGTTCAGACAGCTTCGATCCTCTGGAAGGTGCTGATGATTCCGGTCCAGATTCAGATGCAGACGGTGATGAGGTACCTCGCGACCGTGTACCTATCCCATACTACAATCACATTCAAAATGAAGATTGGTATGTTGATGCCGACATGGACCCGCTAGAGGTGCTAGTATGGGGTCCACTCACTCGCTTTACGAAAGGCCAACAATTTGCAACGAAGAATGAGGTCCGGCACGCTATTGCCACTGAAGCAATGACTCGGAGTTTTGAATGGCAAACAAACCATTCCGACACAAAGAGGCTGATGGTTCGATGCAAAAATGAAAATGAGGGATGCAAAGCTAGGGTTCGGGCCATCAAGAGCAAGAGAGTCGGGCATTGGGTCAATATCCCGTGCGGTGAACACACACATGTGTGTCATCAATAACATCCCAAGGCCATCGACAGTTGAAATCAAGGATGGTTGACGCGGCTATCAAACATCTAATTGAGGAGCAGCCCGACCTGAAGGTGAAAACCATCATCGCCGACATTTCTAGTCGTTATGGTTATATCATTAACTACACGAAAGCGTGGCATGGGAAACAGAAAGCAATGGCTCCCGTGTTTGGTGACTGGGAAGAATCATATGAATTCCTTCCCAAATTGATTTTGGCATTGGAGGTGTCTAACCCTGGTCCGATTTTCTCGCCTCGCTACCAAGATGAAGAAATTCAACCGCAGGTGCCTGGTAACAAGACCCATTTCAAGCATCTTTTCTGGGCATTCAAGCCACGTATTGATGGTTTTCCATACTGTGTTCCTGTGATTCAAGTTGATGGAACATTCCTTACCGGCAGGTACAAGGGTACTCTATTGATCGCCAGCGGAGCAGATGCAAATAGAGCAGTATATCCATTAGCCTTTGCCATTGTGGAGGGAGAGAATATCGATAGCTATGGATGTTTTTTCAGACAAATTCCGCTCCATGTCACCAGGCAGACGAACCTGACTATCATCTCAGATCGCCATGCCGGTATACGGCCTACTATCTTAGGCTTGGATCCAACCTGGAACTGGTCACAAAGATGGTGCATACGGCATTTCAAGAGCAACTGGAACCATCATTTCAAGCGAAAGAAGCTTGCTGATAGTCTATGGTGGATCGGTAAGCGTTCTAATTAATTGTTATATAAATTTTGTCAACTGTATAAAACGAGGACAAAATCAATACAATACAACACTTATTTAGGCTCTTGATAAAGAAATCCATGTCTAAGGAAATGGTGGGACTTAAGCGATCATTATGATCCCCCCATGACCTGGGAAAATCGGGTTCTAATCGATCCTCGGATCCCCCCTTTTTCTGTCAAACAGGTTGTGTTTCTAAGGAGATGTATACCTCTCCTAAGAGTCTTACGAGTGTACTTGTATTGAGGGTAAGGTCGGTCTTGTTTACCTTAAGTTTTTTTTTATATTCATCAGCTGTCGCGTACCAAGAGAAGAAATTTAAAGAGAAGATGGAGAATATCCGTCAGCTATGCCCTGAAGGTGCGCAGTGGCTTGATCAACATGACCTTGCAATGTGGACGTTTCATAAGGACGGAGGTACCAGATGGGGTATTGCCACAACAAACTCAAGCGAGAGTATCAACAACGTCTACAGGGTATGTCGTGCACTCCCCATCTCTGCAATTGTTGAGATGACATTCTGAAAAACAAACGAATGGTTCGTCAACCGTCTCCACTGGTGAGAGAAGAGGGAGGCAAAGGGTAAGGTACACTCCGATCATGCCACAAAAATAATGGAAAAAGATAATCGGAAGAGCTCTCGTCACAAAGTCACTGTGATAAACCGAAATGCTGGCAAGTATTCGGTCGAGACTGGGAACTGGGAGGATGGGAGACGTGGGGGTCATTGCCATGAAGTCACCGTCAACTTTAGGACTAAAACGGGGGAGTGTTCTTGTCAGAAGTATCAGGGTAGAGGGATACCATGTTCCCATGCAATGGCTGTAATAAAGCACAGGAGCAATGACCCTCGCCATTTCGTCAGTCCGTTCTTCAACATCGACTCACAAAAGAGCAGTTATCGTACTAGTTTCCGTGCATTGCCGGATGAAGCTTACTAGCCAGTTTATCAGGGTATGGTCATCATTCCACCAATCGGTCTTAGGCGGGAAACAGGGCGCCAGCGGGTAAAAAGGATTCCAAATGAGATGGATCAAAGTGGAGTACCACCGCGAGGGCCAAGGCGGTGTTCCATATGCAAAGTACCCGGGCATGATAAACGAAAATGTCCCGGACTAATTGGTCCTGAAAATCCAGGGCCCGATGTGGTGAACCCGGATAATGGCGCATAGATTGATTTCATGCATTTGTTCCATCTTTGTGTATTAATTTCAATGGTTACTCAACTTGTATTTTGTGTGCTTAAATTACATTAGAGATTTGCACAATTAACAAACTTCGATGCAATGTTCCATCTTTTTGAATAAAACACATCACGAACACAAACACACTACATGAAAAACTAAAAAATAACTTCAACTAAAAACAAATTTTTTAACTTAATTTAAACAAAACATAACTTGAAATAAACACAACTCGTCACACTCAAGCATTATTTCGACGATTTGCCCTCTGTTTCCTTGAGATCCCGTCACAATATCCTGATCTTGCCTAACATTCCACAGGCGGATCAATTTTACATACTCCTCCGGCCAATTAGTAGCTCCTTGTCGACCATCTTTCCCGTGGTAACCCCTCTGACTCTCCGGGACATCCAATGGTAGGCATTGCTCACGTCCGAATTGTCGTAGACATCGATCCGGAAAGTGCCACTCCACTATATGGTGGCAGATTAGTGGAACTCGGGTGCACCATTGACCGGGATGTAACGGGAACTTGTGGATGTGATGCGCGACAATGCTTTCTGGATACAGATCGAACTTAAGCTACGAAGGTGCATAAAAAATAGACCATTAATCAACATAATAATATAAGTTGAAAAAAAAAGTAGGAATTAATAGCGTATTATGATGCTCACCTCTGCTTCCCAAAGGCGATCAAGCCTCCTACGATACTCCTCCAACTTATGCGCTCCTAGGTTGTCGCATATTTTTTTCACCAAGCCACCTATTCAATCCAAAAAGCATGGGGTGTTAATACATAATAGCTGGTTCGTTATAAAATACCCAATTGATAAAAAAAGGTGAGAACTATGAGTGGGATAGAAAATATTTACCTACAACCATAAGCTTCATGTCGTAGGGGATGGTCGGGTCCCCATTCCTTGTCGGGGTCTACCTTCGGCGCAATCCATGGCAAATGCTCCCAAGCCCAAATTTGGACGATGAACATGGCCCAATCAATCTCCTTCACCGCTCTCGCACTAGCATTACAGAGGGATCGGTAGAAATGAGCTAGGCAAGCAGATGCCCAGCTCAGGTTTCCCATATCATCCCAACTCCCAAGTATGATCTTCAACCATGAATTGCTGATTAAGTTGTTGGATTTCTTGGGGAAGAAAACTCCTCCGATCATGCCGAGGATGTAGATACGTGCATAAATGTCTTTATCACGCTCCGAACTTTCCTCCGTGAGGGGAATGCCTCCAAACTCAGGGTTGTGCTTACGCCTGATCTCCGCTGTCAACCACGTGATGGATACTTGGCCCTTGGACAATGCTGGATGACCATCCGCATCGTGATCTCCCTTTTCTGGCGGACACAACCCGGTGACGGTCCATATAAAATGCTGCGAACCACTCATATTGGCAACAACTTTAGGTGGTGGCGTAGAGTCCACACAAATAACATCACCATCGATGGGCAAATCGGTTAGGATGGCGATGTCCTTAAGTGTGTTGGTGCACTCACCTTCACGAAAATTGAAGCAGCGTGTCTCCTTTCGCCATCTCTCTACCAACGCTGTGATGAGTTGGCGGTCGATCTTGATTCCATTAAAATGCCTAATCGAATCCAATCTTGCCCTTTTTAGAAAGGGCAAGATGACGTCGTTCCATTCAAGCACATTCGTCGTGCCCCTATAGCGAAAGTTAACTTTCACTATAATTTGATATACATTCGTCGTGCCCCTATAGCGGACTATATGGTATGCAATACTAATTAAATCAAGGTTGTTTTAGAGAAATATACATTATCTAATAAAAATTAATTTTAAGATAACTAAAATATATTATAAGATGCAATATTAATTAAATCAAGGTTGTTTTAGAGAAATATACATTATCTAATAAACATTAATTTTAACATAACTAAAATATATTATAAGATGCAATATTAATTAAATCAAGGTTTTTTTCGAGAAATATACATTATCTAATAAACATTAATTTTAACATAACTAAAATAATTTTCGAAATTTAAGTATAATTATTTTTTGTACACATACACATAAAATCAAATATATTATTTTGTTAATCGTATTGATTATTTTCAATAATTTAAAGCAATACAAGTACACTCGTAAGACTCTTAGGAGAGGTATACATCTCCTTAGAAACACAGTTTTTTTGACTGAAAAAGGGGGGATCTGAGGATCGCTTAGAAACCGATTTTCCCAGGTCATGGGGGGATCATGATTATTGCTTAAGTCCCCATTTCCTTAGACATGCATTTCTTTATAAAGAGTCTAAATAAGTATTGTATTGTATTGATTTAAATTATTTAAAATAATCAATATGATTAACAATTAATAAAATTATTGTACAAACTAATAAATTACTTTAACAAAATACAAATTACAAGTGATGATAAATAATATGTACCTTTTGGTCGTTCCAAACGTCTCTTGAACGATGATTAGATTGATGTATAAAACAGTCGGATCAATCGGTCATTGATCAACATAATATCATTGATTGTAAATATCAATATCCGGCCCAACCTACGATAGCTTAACAAAACATAAATCAATTAGTATATAAATTAAATAAATCATTATAACAACAACAACAATTGGGTAAAATGCGAACGTACCGCTTGATAATCATCATAGTAAATGCCCTCTTCTTGGATGAAATCGACCATTTTTTCCGAATCCGGAAAGAGATTCGACGGTTTTTTAGTGAGCTGGCGCGCGGTTTGGCCGTCAGATCTCTCTCCCATCCCGCGGTTGCATGTACCACCATGTGGCAATGCGGTTTGGCAGCTAGGAAGGGTCAAACCGCGCGTTCCAGAGGCGGTTTGTGTTTTAACCACGCCTTGGAGGCGCGTTTTTTTTTATAACCGCGCCTTCGAGGTTTTGTGTGGAAGGGTGGTATTTTTGGAAATTGTTGGGAATGTGTGGTATTTTTGTAATTTTTTTTATAGTGATAGTTTTGGATTGTTTCCGAAAAATCGGAGATCTTCACTATGGGCAATGCTCCCAATCCTGACCTTTTTCGCTGCTATTATCCCGTGCAAGTGGAGCAAGAAACCTTTCAAGTACCTTGGTTTCCCACTCGGAACCAAAGTCAATGCCACCTCTATGTGGGATGCTATTGTGGATAACTACAAGCAACGACTGGAGGAGTGGAAGGCCGCTTTCTCTCATTAGGCGCCCGACATGTACTCAATCGCTCGGTGCTCTCGAGCCAACCTACTTACTATTTCTCAATTCTAAAAGATCCATCCACGGTGGTGAACCGCATTGAGAAGATTGAACGAAGATTCATTTGGAGCAGCAACAGAGATAATTAGAAAATACCTATTATGAATTGGAACATTTGCAAATCCGCCAAGGAGAAGGGTGGGCTCGGGACCACTGACATGAGATGTTTCAACAAGGCCTTGTTGGCTAAGCGACTTTGGATATTCTCCATAGAGAGCAACAGTTGGTGGAGGATTCTCATTGCCAGTAAATATCCAGTCTCATCGTCGTTTTGGCAGAGTGAAAGGTGCAGACGTGGTTTTCCTAGCTCTGTTTGGGCCAATATCACAAAGGACTATGGTTCTTTCTGGAACCTTGTGCATATTGATCATGGAACGGCGTGTGAGTTTCCTTTTGTAACTATAGGTGGATTCTGAACTTCACTCTTGCTGGTTCATTCCGTCGTGTCGCTGCTTCCGCCACTCGACCGAATGCTTGAGATTCCGACAATGTAAATCGAACATCTACGAACTGGAACTGTAATATCGATCTTAACTTTAGTTTGAGAGCGGGGCCGAAAGGGAGAGAATTTCACTGATCCAAACTTTTAATAACACTAATGTTTTTAAGAGGTCATGTGGTCCGAGCTAGTTAGTCTGGTCGCCCAATCACGAGTCCTCTTTTTCTGTTCACTTTATCTACTTGGCCATAATTGATAATGAATTCCACGGTGTTCCCGCTTTCCCTGCATAGTCGACTTGGAGGGAAATTATTCCCTCCAAAATTCTGTGCTTTCATCTGGACAATCATGCACAACAAGATTCTTACCTTGCACAACCTCAAGAAACATGGACGACATCTCGCTAACAGGTGCACCCTCTGCTTGGGGTGTGAAGAGACGGTGGATCATATTTTTGTTAACTGCAGGCACACGAGATAAATATGGTCACAGCTCAGGCAATCGAGTATCATCATCAATATGCTAGAAGGAGATATCCTCTCGAGCATCTATAGATGGAAGAGTGACAAGCCGGACAACATCAATGATTGGGTTAGCTACTGCATCCTCCATGCGACGCGCTGGAAAATATGGCTTGAAAGAAACCAAATAATATTCAGTGACACTCCTCTTATTGCGGTCTAATATGTATGGAGACCATCGAGCGATTGAGTATAAGTTGAGGGTCAAAAGAGAGATAGTACGCAATATGCCTCAATTTTAGAAAGTTTAAAATTATAACACATGTTGTGCATGTAGATGAGTGGTATCCTACTCATTTTTTTTTTTAGATGAAAAATATGAGTAGAGTTTAGTGAATACTATTGGTTGTCAGTTCGCTCACAATTATAACAAAGAAACAAGAAGAAATTTATTTGAGTACTAGTATACAAGTGAAAGCCATAAGAGTCTCCTTAGTCCCTACCTTGTATCTTGAGCAAGAATTCTTGTGGGATTAGCCCTGATGTTTGTCTAATTTTGCAAGAATAAGGTGGCCATGTAGAGAAAACTGATAAGACACAACTTACTCACTCCTCGTCTATAGGTGCAGGGTTAAAATTCACCAGCCACACAGAGCTTGGAGGATAACTTGCACCCCAAATTGTTGTAGAATCGTAATTCACCAGCCGCATAACACGATCGAGAGTACAAAGCATCCAAATATATAATAAGTATCGTCATTAAACAGAGCAAGAAGATTCATTCTATAGAGCTTTGAGGATAACTTGCACCCCGAATTGCGGTCTAATCGTAAAAGCATAAACAGGGGAGTGGACATAAGCCGGTGAAAGAGTGAAAGAGTAGCGTTGGAGAATCAGGGAAAGGGCAATCTTGATTTGGATTGGTGCAAAGTTGTACCCGGCACAGATCCGAGCACCCATCCCGAAAGGGATGTGCACAGATTGGATGTTGTTTGTTGCTTTGGCAAGCCCTTCAGAGAACCTTTATGGCTTGAAAAGGTGCACATCTTCTCCCCAGATTTTAGGGTCATGATGAAGTGACAAATATGAGATGATTATATTTGTATTACCCGGAACAAGGAAGTTCCCAAGCCGAACTTCCTTCTCCACTTTTCGCATCATTTCAAATGCAGGAGGGTACAAACGTAAGGTCTCGTTTATGATCATGGTCATCTACAAGTATGAAACACAATGCAAATGATAATGTCAACCTTCACAATAATAATAATAATAAGGTATTCTTCGTACCAGTTCCTTACCGTTTTGAGCTTCATAATACCATCTGCATCAGGAGTTCTACTGCCGAAATGAGTCATGACTTCTTTTCTTGCTTCTTCTTGCCAATCTGTATGGATCGACAAAAGTAACATTGCCCATGTGAGCAAAATGTTACATGTTTCATGTCCAGTAAGATAGAATCTCTTGGAGAGTCAACTGCGGCATCTTCTTTCTTGGATTTGGAAATTTAAAGCGAATCAATTTTTTGTTTTTATCTGACTTGAGATTAAATACACAGATGACGGTTGAGACGTCATTTCTGTTCTGGGGACAAATTATATATTTTCTGAAATCTGAATTGGTTGTGTGCTCTTAGAACTTCAACGAAAATGACACTGTTTTATTTTTTTTTTGGTCCACAACACTGTTTTATTCAATCATTGACAATCTGGTAGCCCATTTTAAAGAACTCTTTCTACTCATGTAGCTTAGCCAGACTTCCATACTTTTTTGTAGACGCCCTGGAAGTAGCCAGCAGGGTTCCTCTCGAGTTCGGCCCTCAGGATCTGGTGATCGGCGACAGGTAGAGGTGGCAAATGGATCGATCCATGGATTCGTGGATTGGATTGGTGGATTCATAGATCAAATGGATTGGTGGATTCATGGATTGGATCAAGTGGATTGGTGGATTATCCATGAATCCAAATGACATCCTCAACCTTGGACCAATATGTAAAATGTGAAAAGTTTAGGTACTCAAATGTCGTAATGAAAAATTTTAGGTACCAAAACGTAATTTTCCAATGAGATTTTTCGTATAAAAAATTAAAATTTAGGTACCTAAATGTAAAATATAAAAAGTATAGGTACCAAACCATAATTTGCCATTTGGATCCATTTATTGATCCATGAATCCACCAATCCAATTGGATTTGTATTAAATTGATTGGATTAGCTGGATATTTTTAATGGGTTGGTGGATTGGATTGGTGAATTGGATTGAGAATTGCCACCTCTAGTGACAGGACCTTTCATTGTCTCGTTGAGGATTTGCTAGAAGAAGCGACCTGGTTAGCAGCAAATTGTATACACTAAAAGAAAATAACTACAATAAAAGAGGGTGGAGAGGGAAAGATGTTCTTCTTATTCATCATGTTCTTTGGATAATGGGGTGCTATATTTATAGGTAGCATTGCAAATGAGCGAGGTGAAAG